ACAAGTACAGCGAATATCAGGCGAATATCAGATTACAGGGTTTAAAGGAGCACTCTTGCCAGAGAGAAGCACCACTGGAATGGCCTTGCTTGGGGACTGGCCCTACTTACTGCAGATCCATGGAAACAGACTCCCTTTTAGAGGCGGGCTTAACAAATACTTCCCTAGTGCTATTCTGCTTTGGGAAAATGACCTCATCGATATTCAAAGTAACCCTCTGGTTTAGGGCTGATATGAACCTGTGGGGTTCATTGTTCATGTAGCTAAATAGTAAAGAGTGGTTAGATAGCTGTCCTGCGTCACAGAGGGAGACATACGCTATTCTTGCTTAAACAGTTGTCCTGGGTCACAGGGGAGACATGCTATTCTGCCCATTCTACTGGCAGACCCTGGTTGCATGGACATTTCAGTGAGATGAAGGAAGAAAGGAAAGAAGGAACAACAATTTTTTGCTTCTGCTAAAGGTAGAGATTGCCTGTGATCCAGCTCAGCCCAGTGCCTGTGAGTAGAAGCCACGGGTCAGGCAGGAACCAAGGAAATATATTGCTTTTCTAATCAAACAAAGGACACGCAGTTACCATCATTTTCTTCATTTTGACCCTTCAGGCCTGCACTGTGGACATGATGCAGTCATTTTGTGAACATGACACCTAAGCTAGTAAACATGACTAAAAAAGAAGGCAGCTGCATCCTCCCTGGATTTACATAGGGAGGTGTAGGCACACCAAATTAAAACACTAAAAGTGACCCAAAGCTATTTTAACTGATACTTAAATATAGATTCTGCTCCTGAACATTCCAGAGTTCATAGGACAGCTGCCCCTGTTCAGAGGGTTCCTCTTTGGGGGGTCGCCTCTCCTTCCTTAGGCCAGCTTGTCTGTCCAAAGCTGCCCCAATGCATCAGGCCCAGAACCAACTTCTCCATCCTGATGCACAGCAGACTAAATATGCAACTTTGCATCTCTCCATCTCAGGACAGGACTTTCACCCAGCCACTGACATCTGTGAGACTAGATAGCCTTACCTCACCATCTCCACTACAGGTCATCTACTAAGCCTTTTATAAAGACCGTGAAACAAAGCGTTGGCATCCGAACTTTGGTAGATCATAGCCTTTTAATAAAGTCAAACAGACTAATGTACTTGAAAAAAAGAAATATGGCCCTCTCAATTCTAACAGGCAGTTTTCAAGTCCTAAGAACCACAATACTCACCTGGTGGGCAGCACTTAGTTACAGACGCCCAACTCCCTGCCCAGAGAAATACCTGATCGGAATAATCCTGGGTCCATGGAACAAGGATTAGACAAAGAATTTGTATCTCATTTCCTTTAGGAAGACCCCAAAGGCTATTATGAAGCCAGTTTTTTTTTTTTTTTTTTTTTTTTTCTGGGCACCTTTTCTTTCCCATGACAAAGAGTTGTGGGAAGTCTCAGTAGAATACTGAAGCTGTGGCTTGGAGAGACAGAGTACATACTAGACTGGGGTTCACAGATGGTTGCATGGAATTAGTGCTCGCCATGGAATCCAAGGCCTTACGCACGTCAGGTAGATGCTTTGTTAACAAGATAAATCCCCCACGCAGGCTCTGGCTTCAAGCACAAACCTTGGAAGGAGGCATTAGTTCTCTGCTAATTTTTCTTGAAATTTTTATTCTTTTTATTTTCTGCTTGTTTGATTTGGGGGTTTTGTTCTGTTATGAGACAGTCTTGTTGTGTAGCCTAGGCTGACCACAGACCAAAATTCCCAATTTATCTCTGAAGACAGAAAGCAGATTTTTTGTTTGTTTGTTTGTTTGTTTTTGAGACAGGGTTCCTCTGTATTGCTTTAGATCCTGTCCTAGAACTCACTCTGTACACCAGACTGGCCTCGAACTCACAGAGATCCACCTGCCTCTGCCTCCCAAGTGCTGAGATGAAAGGCATGTGCCACTAGCACCCGGCTGACAGAGTCATGTATGATAAAGACACTCATCAAAACCAGGCATCTACCTTTACTTTCTTAAACCATATTTTGAATGGCATAAAACCAGGTAGACAAGGGGTCTTATGTTCTACATGGTCCTACTTTGTCACTTACTATGTAGGATGATTTTAATAAGCTTTGTAGCCCTTACCCAGTTCCACCTCCTCTGCTCTACCTTCCTCTGGGTGACACACAGGGAAGAAGTAGTCTCAAAGCTCTTCCTGTCCCTGGATCCCCTAAGTGTAACTTGCTGACAGCCTTGCTGGCAAATGCAGTATAATGACCAGCTTATCTTGTCTCAGATATGGTTGCTGTATGTAGATGAATTTACTCTAGAAACGCAAGCTGTGAGTCTTGGAAACCAGCATTACTGAGCTCTTCCCTTCCTGCCCTTACCTCGCCTTGGCTACTGTGGTAACTCAGTCCTGGTGACTCCTGCGTGAGTCCTGAAACATATTAGTCTGAAGAGCTGGAGGATGAGAAGGGACACAGCCCGGTGCAGGGACACTTTCCAGTGACCACAGGACCTTGCCCAAGGTCCACATGTAATGAATTAGCCACTGTCTCCTTTCTGTCCCTAGCTCCAGTTGCCTCAGTGTTTATTAATGCTTACTAACATTGCCCTAGCAAAAATACCACATGCTGGAGAGCTTGGGGACAACAGAAAGCACTTCTCAGGGGTCTGGATACTGGGACATGCAAGGGCTCAGCATCTGGACAGGGCTGCTCTTGTGGTTTCAAATGGTTCTGCTGCAACACCCTTTTGAGAGAATGAACACTGCTCTTCACATGGTGGAGAATGCACAGATACCAACCCACCCCCTGCAGGCCCTTTCTCAGGGTCTCTAATCCATCATGAAGGTCATACTCTCAGGACTCACCACCTCACCAATATCCCCTCTCTAAATAGTATAATACTGCATTTGCATTTCAATATATCACTGGAAGCATATATATATATATATATATATATATATATATATATATATATATATCTCCATCTCACAGCATCCCATAAATCAGATAAGGCAGGCCTTTCACTCAATATAGATGTTTCTAGCCCAAAGCAGCCTGGACTTTTATTCTATAAAAGGTTCTGGGAGTTGTGGTCAGAAATAACTTCCCATCATCCCTTTCTCCTGACCTGGCCCAGTACCAGGTCACCAGAAAATCCTCCAGGTTTCATTATCTCCATCCTCAACCATCTCTTGTCTCTAGCAAACATCTTCCAATACTTCTGTGGTGGGTGTAGCAACCCAGATGATAGCTTGCCAAAGGAGTTCACAGGCTCATATGAATATGTTATGTTGTGTGGTAAAAGGAACTTTGTAGGTGTGATTAGATTATGAATCTTAAAGTGGCAAGTGAGCCCAGTATAATCAAGAAGGTAATCACAAGAATGAGCAGGAAGGGTCAGAGAGGGAGAAGGAAGCAGAGGGAGAGGAAGAAAAAGAAGCCAGAGGAGAGGAGTGGAAGAAAAGGAGAGAGACAGAAAGATGACACAGAGACAGACAGACACACACACACACACACACACACACAGAGAGCACAGCACACAGAGGGGCATCTAAACCTGGTTATGGAGGAAGAGACCACTAACCAAGGTGTTCAAGGCAGCCTTTGAAAGTCACAAGAGGCAGGGAAAACAGACTCTCTCTCTCTCTCTCTCTCTCTCTCTCTCTCTCTCTCTCTCTCTCTCTCTCTCAGCCCTTCAGAATCAATGCAGCCCCCATTTTAGTCACATTAAAGCCGGGTTTGGCCTTCTGACCGTCAGAACTGTAGACTAGTAAATAAATCTGCACCATTCTAAGATGCCAATGTGATTTGTCTGTGACAACAGTTGATAGGGAACTAATAAAGTAGACGTGAAAATCGGATCAACTCTGAAGTTTGGTAATATCCACAGAAGCTGGGCACATAAGTGGGCAGGAGATGTCACCTGCTGTGCTCATAGCAGCATCTTTGGACTTTTCCAAGTCGAGAATAGCCCAAACATCTACCAGGAGCACAATGGAGATATACAGACACAATGGGATACTACACTTCTCAAAGAAGGAGAAAAACCACAGCTATACACTGTACATCGTTTGACAGCCAGGCAACACGACATATCTCTTTGATGTTAGAAAACACACAAATAGCAAATCAGTTCTGTTACTGGCAATGTGTTCTGTTTCATGATCTGCATGATGCTTCAGTTTGTGCAAAAGCTCTAGACCTGTGGTCTATCCTTTGAATATGCGTGCTATATATACATAAGTAAAAGTGTTAAAAGGAGATGGAGGGGATGCCTTTTATAAAAGTTGTTCTGTCCTCTCTGGGACTGTCCAGGTAGTCCACCTTCTTAGAACCTACCTCTGCTACTTGTCCTGTGAATGTACTCCAAATGTTTGATAAGGGATCATGCCATGGGGATTTTGTTTAAATAAAGAATATCTAGGGGTATATTATCTTTCCCTTTGAGGGTGTCTCAAAACAAACTAGTATGTAGCCAAAGGATGGCCTTTCCCATGTAGCCAAAGGATGGCAGGTGAGACTATCAGCCTGGTCCCAGGAAACTATCTTTGATTGACATTATCTGGTCAGAAAAGACCTACCTTTTCCTCCACTGGGTCCATCAAATACATGAAAAACTGAAATAATTCTATCTACTAAATTTCCTTTTTTTTTCCTTGACGTTTCTGTGGAGTTTAATACATTAATTTTATTTTGCAAAATTTTGTTAGCTTTTCTGTTAAGCCTTAATTAGACTATAATGAAGTTGTAAATTTATAAAAAATAAAAACAAAACGGTTGCTCCCACAATCACTCAGTCTTGAAGTGAGGTGCTGGCTTTAGACAGTGAGGAAAGGGACCCGCGGAAGCTCAACCTCAGACCAGCAAGATGGATCTGAGATGGAAGGAAACGTGGACATAGACCCGGAGTAGGGGCACCCAGGGGTCATCTTCATCGGTCCACGTGCGTTTTTGCCCCTTGACTCTCCCACCAGTCTCAGCTGTCAAAGCTCAGTGGCCTGGAGGGGAGGCGGGGCGGGGTCTGGGAGCGAAGGCGGAGCCTCGGAGAGCATCTTCTGGCCCCCGGGGCCTGGACTGGCCCGCCGCCCCCACCTGCAGCGCGGCGGAGCGCGGGCGCGTCACTCCCAGCGGAAGCGCCAGCCCCGCGTCTGGCGAGGTGCGCGCCTCGCGGCTCCCGCTCCGGAGCTTCGTGGCCCGCCCGTGTCTGCAGAGCAGGGGCGGGGGCCCGGCGGCACGGCTGGGGACTGAGATCGAAAAAGCCGTGGAATCGTAGACAGTCGCCCAGCTCGGACAGCGCGTCGGGGCGGGAGCAGATCGCGAAGGTGAAGGACAGCTGCGGATCCGACAGCGCGTCCCAGGTCAGTCCTCCCGCTGCACTTGAGCAAACTTTGGGATGCCGTGACGGCTGCGAGATGAGGACACGGAGGGTCGCGAGGCCGCCTGGCCCCTGTGCGCCCCGCGAACCCGTACCTGCTGCGCACCTGACACCGCAGCGGCCGGGGTGGGGACCGACACCCCGTTACCGCTGACCACTGCGGGCGACCAAGGGCTAGCGGGCTTCAGGGGCCTCCAGGGAGCCTCTGGCTCGCCCGCGCCCAGCCGCGCGCCTCCGGTCCCCGCGGGTCCCCAGCTCCTGTTGGCGGCTCGCTCCCGGACCCCGCGGGGCTGCGGATTCCGCCGTCTTCGGGCCTCGTGGCGTTGGAGGAACGGCCCGGGGCCCAGGGCCCAGGGACGCGGGGTGGCGGCCCCGCGGTGGGAGCGGCGCGTGCTCGGCCGGTGGAGCGCGCGGGTCGCGGGGTCCGGCTGGAGCGCGTGGCCGCAGGTGCCTGTGGCCGCTGGGCAGCGGAGGTGAGGAGCACGGGCTGGGGCCGCGGAGCCGATTGCAACCTCTGGCTGCAGAAACCAGGGTCACTGAGCGAGCAATCCGGTCCCCGCGGCTCCCGGGCTTGCACATCCCGGCACCCGGCATCCAGACCCCCTCAGCGGGAGGCGGGCTGCAGAGCGGCGCCTGCCCGGGCGGAGGACCAGTGCTGCCTGTTCTGACACGCCATCTCCCCGGCGAGGGCGGGGTGCTAGGCTGGCGGGCTGCGCGGGGACCACTGGCCAGGGCCTCCTGTCACAAGCCCTGTTCATGGACAGCTGCCTGCTCTGGCTTGGAGTGGAGGAGACGAAATGAGCACCCCGCCCCCATCCGCGCCCCAGCCCTGTCGCCCCAGTCACCTTCCTTTGCCCTTCTCCAACAGCACCTTGGACTTGCTCCCTCCCGAACTGGGGAAAATCTGAGGAAGCCAGGCAGGGACCTGGGAGACACCACTGCCTTCATACTCAACAGCCTGGAAATCCAGTCACCTTGGTACCTCGCCGCTTCCCAGACACTTTGGAGGAGCAGGTTTGCCATTTCTACCCTCCACCCCTATCCCATCCCCCGTCTGTCTCTGCTGAGGAAAGGAATCTTAGGAGAGAAGTTTGGATCTAGGTACCCCTTAACATTGCCCCAGAGCCTGTGGGGCAGCTCATAGGTAACTAAAGGGCATCCTAGCTCTGTAGCATTGTGAGGGAAACAAACCTTACCAACTAACTCCTTCCCTTGGGCAGTTTCTGAGTATTTCTTAGAAGACTGGAGACCCATGGAAGCCGACTGTTCCTGGGCAGTCATTGCACCCTTTGCTTGGCTCCGACTTTCTCCTTCCTAGGATTTTTGCTTATGACCTCTGGCTGGCCTCGTTCCAATCGCTGCCTGGCCTTGGACTGCCCATCAGGACTGTGATTTTTTTCTTTTTTTAACTGCAAGCCTCTGGTCCTAGCGGGCTCAAACTCAGGGATGTACTCTTCTGTGAGTCCTGTGGGTTCCCTCATCCCACTCTTGCAGCACCTCTGCCCTTCACCCCTCAAGAAAATTGATTCTCAACCCTCTTGGGGAAGATGATGGAGGCATCCCTGTGTGAGCAGACGCAGGGTTTGGAAGAAACCAGGAAACAATCGGGAGCGAGGAATCGTTTTAAAAGGCACCCATGAATCTGGGACTAAGAAAAGATAGAGATGCCATGGGTGTGTGAAGCTTGGCCTCTCCTTGTTAGGTCCCAACAGCTCAGAGGACTGACTTATGCAGGACCGGTATTGGGTGATGCATATTTGGAACCTAGTACTTACAGAATTCCTAAGCAGTAAATGCATTCCAAATTTTAAACTCCTCACAATCATCTACTGTAATGTAGATATTGAACCCCCCAAGTTAGGGACGATACCCCCCAAAATTGTTAACTTTGAGAGAGCCCAGGTTCCTTTCCACCTCTCCCACTTCAGGACAGGAACTAGGACAATGGACTTTAGAGTCATATGCTCACTTTACAGCTCCATAGCCAGATAACTGTTTTATAAGAGAGGGCACAAAGGAAAATCACTGTCCTGTCCACATGACTAGAAAGCTGGGGATGGTGGGAGGAAAAAGGCAACAGGAAAAATCATCTCCAAGATGGCTTTCCATGTATGTCAGTCTTATGCCACTGCCATGCTGGGTACCACACAAATCAGGTATCCCAGACTGGGCCCTGCCTTGGGAGGTCTGCCATCGAAAAGGCAGGGAGAGATTGAGATACAGAACACAGAAGCTAGCATGTAACTCCAGGCTGGCAGATAATAGGAATGACCTTGGGAGGGTGCACTCACCTCCTTCCCTCTTGAGCAAAGACATGGACTGGACCAGAGGAGCACTGAGGTTCCACCAGCTCTAACAGACCTTGTGTGGTGGGCTTGCCTGCAAACAGACTTGAGCTAGGTTGCTGTGTGTGGGATCCATTCCAGACTCGTTTACAAACTCATAGTCAGTGAAATGTGATAAACCGAACACTGTAGGGATTTCTAAACAAGGAATTAAAGAACTCGACTCCAAATGGGAGAGATGCAGGCAACAAATCGACAGTGTTTATGTGCCTCTGAATAGCTTTGATTTCCTTCGGTAGGAGCTGACAGCTGGCTGACAGAAAGCTCACCCAGGGAGAGAAGAGAGAAAAATCAAGTATGAGATTAGGAATAATGTTTTCAGGTAACTTTCTATTTCTATTCCGAGTGGGTGTCTGGGAGGGTTAGTGTAGTTATGGTTTGAGTTGCTCCATTTATCCACATAAATTTTTTCCCAAGGGCTCCTAATTCTAGGGCTTTGCTTCCATCCTCTAGTTTCCTGGTAGCAAGATAGAGAGCTGGGAGTCCCAGCATTCAGCCTGCATACTCTCCCTCTACCCTCTCTATGTGCCGCCTCCATTATCTGTGGTCTTTCTGATCTATCTGGTCAGAGAGTCAGTCTTTGGTTTCTTGCTCCAGAAACTGCTTGTCACTGCCTGAGGTGGGGGCAGCATCTGGAAGTCCGTACTTTGTCTACAAACTTTCAATCCACCGCTGTTTTTTTGTCCTTTGTCTCACTTTCACTTTGTGTGGTGCCTGAGAGCTCTGGGACCTATAGTTGAAGGGTCATGTGCACCAGTGGCCCCTCTGCCAGCTCTCTTCTCCCTTTGCAAAGCTTATTTCAAATTTTTTATTTGATAATACCTTTCCTCCAGGTGTCTTCATTCTTGGGAATATATGCCTTGTAGCCTTTAAAAAAGAAGGTAAATAAATTTTTCGTGGATGCTTAACCAGCAGAGAAAGAATGGACCAAGTCCAAAGTGATACATTCTAACTAAAGGAGTTGGGCTGGAGCCACGGCTCAACAGTTAGGAGCACTAGCTGCTCTTCCAAAGGACACAGATTCCATTCCCAGAACCCACACGACCCCTTACAACCACTGATAACTCTAATTCCAGGACACCTAATGCCCTTTTCTGGCATCTGAGAGAACCAGCATAGACATACATACAGGCGAACACTCATACACATAAAGTGAAAATTAAAAAAGAAATGAAATAGAGAAGGGGTTTACACGACTATTAAATAACTAAGACCTCCTAATTATATGGGGACCCATAAAGAAAATCTAGTAAGTTCTTACTAGATTCTACTCAATCAGACGAAACAGAGTAAAAAGTCATTTCCCATAGTCCAAGGACAACCTTGTTCCGTTTCTCAGGCACTGTCAGTTTTGTGGCATATGTGCATGGTGTGTGTGCGCATGTGCATATGGGTGCATGCTGCTCTCATGTGAGCACATGCAGATGTATGCGTGCATGGTGTATGTGTGCACACTGCTTGTGTGTGAGCACGTGCAGGTGTATGGGTACATGCGCACCTGTGTGTGTGCATAGTGTATGTTTATATGCATGGTGTGTGTGTGTATACATGGGTTCACACTGCTCGTGTGTGAGCATGTGCGGGTGTATGGGTGCATGCGCACCTGTGTGTGTGCATAGTGTATGTGTATATGCATGGTGTGTGTGTGTGTGTGTGTGCATACATGGGTGCACACTGCTTGTGTGTGAGCACGTGCGGGTGTATGGGTGCATGCGCACCTGTGTGTGTGCATGGTGGCCTGAGTTGAGGTTGGGTGTCTTCCTCAGCTGCTCTCCACCTTTTTTTTTTTTTTTTTTTTTTTTTTTTTTCCCCTGAGGCTCTCACAGAACTCAGAGCTTACTGATTCAGCCAGTCTAGCTACCTGGCTTGCTCTGGGGTTCCCAGAGCTGAAATTACAGGCTGGCTACCATATCTACTCTTTACATTTATGTGGGTGCTGGGGATCTGGTCCTCATGCTTGCATGGCAAGTGCTTTATGGACTAAGACATCTTCCTAGCCTTTACCATTTTTGTTTTTGAAAGAGGTTTTGGTAACTGGGAACTCAACACCAGGTAGACTAGCCTGCTGGCCAGTGCGGCCCAGGAACCACATATTTCTGCTTCTCTTCCCAAGTGCTGGAGCTACAGACATGCACCACCACATCCATACTTCTTTTAGCATGAATTCTGGAAGTCAAACTCAGGTCCTCACACTTGCAAAGTGAGTGTTTTATCTACGAAACCATCTTCCCATCTCTGCCATGTTAAAAGGCTTTGGATATGGGATGTGATAAACAGAGGTTAAATTCTGAGATAAACTTCTTGAAAAGAAGGATGAATCAAGAAAAAGGAGAACTAGGAGAGCCCCCATGTAGTGCTGTCTTTCAGCTCCACGTCCGCACAGCATAAACTTTATGTTTATATTCCACAGGCTGTAACTAGTCTTTCTCTGTCTAGCCAGCTTGCTCCAAATAATGACACAGAGAGACTTCTTATTAATTATGGAAGCTCGGCCTTAGCTTAGGTTTGTTTCTAGCTAGCTCTTGTAACTTAAGTTAACCCATTTCTATTAATCTACCTGCTGCCACATGGCTCATGGCTTCTACCTCTGCTTCTGCATGTCCTGCTTCCTCTGCTTCTGGCTCATGGTTCCACCTAACCTCTTCCTGCCTAGCTATTGCCCATTCAGCTCTTTACTAAACCAATCACTGTGACACATCTTCACACAATGTAAAGGAATATTCCACAACGGGTGATGAAGCTAACGTTCCAAAAGGCCAAGGCTTGCCTAGGTCATCTAGCTAACCAGGAAAATGAGGATCGAATTCTACATCAGCCTGAGTCTGAATCTGCTCTGAACTGTGACTTCCATGGAAGAAAGTACAATAACAAAGGGACTGACTGAATGTCTACATGGTTTCCCACAGGAAGAAAACCCATCCTAGGCAAGAGAAGTAGTCTTCATCACACACTGTGAAAAGCAAATCAGATTCAAATGTCAGGATTTGTGGTTTACAGTTCAATCCGGCAGGATGAAAGAATGCCCCGAAAGCTGGTGAAGGCGTAAAGACAAGGCTGCTCAAGTAAGACACTCACTGACTACAAAATGAGGCCCAGGAAGCCTAGTCAGAACCCCTAGGGAATGAAGTATCAGACGCTCTTCTAAGAAAGTTGACGTTTCAACAGTAACAGAATGGCCCCACTATTAAAATGTGAGCAGGCTCGAAAGCCATTGTTGCCTATGGAAGCACAGGCCTACAGTGAAGAAACTCTGGAGACTAAGGCAGAAGGGTTGTCGGAGCCCAGATATTCAGGTCAGCCTGAACAACCTAGCTGAGGAGCCAGCTCAGCAAGTTGAGAACTTGGCATGCAAATTTGAGAACCTGCGTTCGGTCTCCAGCATCCGTGGAAATGGAGCACACTTGTAATCTCAGCACTGGGGAAGCAGTCAGCCAGATCCGTGGGCTGCCTAGCCAGCCAGCCAGCCTTATCAGAGCCCTGGGTCCTGGTGAGAGATCTTATCTCAAATAACAAGGTGGGGAGCTCCTGAAGGACACTGGAGGTTGACTTCTGGCTAAACAAAGTCATGCCCCACCGCCAGTGAGTGTGCGGCTATATCCACACAAAACAATGATGTACAGACAGAATTCATTCCAGTGAAAAGTAAGCCTCTTGGACCCTTTTTTTACTAAATCATTCTCCCGCCCTTGGAAAGCTTTGCATCATCTACATATAACATGGTACTCAACTTTCCTGTCATCCACAACAATCCCTATTTCTATAGGATAGAGAAGAGACCACCACCTCTCTCAGACATCTCAGTCCTCAGGTTGTTACCAGTTCCCTCTCCTGGTCAGTGATTAGTCTTGTAGAGAAGGGCTTTACATGAGGTGTGTGTGTGTGTATGTGTGTGTGTGTATATATGACCTAAAGTCTTTCCATATTCCCACGCTTAAAGGTTCTTAAGACTGAGAACAACCAAATAAGAGTCCAAATACTAGAAACCATGGGAAAGTTGAATATTGAAAGTCAGAGCAAGGCATGGTGATGCATACCTCGAATCCCAGCATACCAGAGGCAGTCAGATCTCTGTGAGTTCAAGGCCCAGCCTGGTCTTCAGAGTGTACATAGTGAGTTCCAGGTCAGCCAGAGCTATATAGTGAGATCTTGTCTTGGGGGGGGGGGAGTCAGTACATGGTAACTTGTTCTTATTTCAGTGTCTGTTAATCAAGCATGACTTTGGCTTAAGGTCTTTTCTAAACTTGTTTTTTTTGTGTGTGTGATTGCCACTGCATCATTTCTTCATGTGAAGTTACTAAATGGTTTCTGTATTTTATATTATGTTCTAATACCTCCTAGTTTCTTTGCATATTAAACCCATTTGTATATGAAAACTGCAAAGTAGGTTTTTTTTTTTTTTTTTTTTTTTTGGTGTTCTCATGTGACCTTTCAAATGCTTTGCTTCCAGAATAGACCTGCAAGTTGGGACCCACGCTGCCATCTGAATTCCTGCACCCCAAGTTTCAGGTATGTTTTGATGGCAGAATAGCTTTTCTGGGCTGTGACAATAGGGACATAAAACAACAAGGCATTTGCTTTCCTTCAGGTTATTCACCCACTCCCCAAGTGCTTGGCTGTGCATCATGAATGATATCAAAAAAAGGAGGCGGTTCAGTTTGGAGTGCTGTCTTTTATGAGCTTATTCATGGCAACGCCAATAGAACATTCGGCAACACGCACTATTAATCATGCCATAGGAACTGAACTGTTGGAGGAAGGCCTCGTGTACCCTGCCTTTGCATATGCTGACCTTATCTGTGTACAGGCTCCTATAATACTGAGAGTGGTCCTGTATGGAAGAGTGTGTGAAAATGTACTGTCTGAAGAACAGGCAGAAGACGCCTCTAAATACAACACCCAAGCCAAGAAATGGAGCATCACGGGCACCTCAGAGGCCTCTGGGTAACCTCCCAGATCCCGCTGTTTTCCCTCCTCCACCAACAGCCACTTTCCCTTTGGGTGCTACTCATAGTTACCCTCTTTGCTTTCGTTGCTGTCCCACTGAGTCTAAGAAAAAATAACTTCAACTAGATGAATTAAGAATGATGTTGACCATACATGGTGAATCTCAAAGAAAGACAAGCTGCCCGGGATTCATGAGTGCTTCCAGGAACCCTTTAGGCAGGGTCAGGAATGAGTCCCACCAGGTCTTAGCCCTGGGACATCAGAGCTGAGTGAAGAGCAGAGATAAAAGGAGCAGCATTGGAGCCCTGGAGGCAGGGCAGGAGGGGGACCCAGCAGCATCAGGACACAGCACTGAACTGAAGTCAGGCTGCTGTGTGCTTTGGGCCTCAGTTGGAACATGGTCGGGTGACCGTGTGAAGGATGTCTGTGCACATCCATCAAACTGGCAGGTACCCCAGCATCTTCTGGGGGCTTAGGGGCCTCTTTTCCACAATCTTCAGCTTCTGTATTCTCTGTGCTGCTTTTCTTGTTTATTGTTTCATCTTGGTAGAGTCTATCTTTCCGTTAATTCTTGAGAGTATGTCCCAATTCTTGCCTGGAGGTTTGGCTAAATATAGAATTCTAAACAGAGGGTCATTTCTCCTTCAGATATTTAAAGACACTTCTGCATTGTGCCTCACTGCTCTTGTTGATGTACCTGAATCCAAATCCATGTTCTATCCCTTGGTATGTAACTTACCTCTACAGCCAAGGGTGCCTCCCCTTCTAGCCTGTGCTCTGGAAGTCTGCAGGTATGAGTTACGGGAATGCACTGTTTCATTCATAGTGCGATGCTCTGATAGGCCCTTTGGATTTGATAACTCTGTTCCTTTCCCCCACTCCTGTTGACGATTTCTTCTTTTGTTCCCCTTTTGATATGGTTTCCTTGCTGATGCTGTGCTAAAAAACTCCTATCAAAAACAGCTTGGAGAGAAGAGTCCTTTGGCTTACAATTCCAGCTCAGAGTCAAGGCAGGGAAGTCAGGGCAGGGACTCAAGGCAGGGAACATGGAGGAAGTGCCTGCTGGCTGCCTGCCTGGCATCCTCACAGGTTCCTGTAGGCTAGCTTTCTGATACATCCCAGGACTACCTGCTTAGTAATGGTGTGGTCCACAGTGGGCTGGAACCTTCTGCATCAGTTACTAATCAAGACAGTTGCCCAGAGACATGCCCATGGGCCCAATTGATGTAGACAGTTCTTAAATCAAGTCTTTTTTTTTAGGTGACTCTACACTGTCAAGTTGACAGTTGATGCTAACTAGGACACTATTCTACCACTTTTTCTTGGTAGAAATGTTACTTGGATATTGGAGTTCTTGAACTAGTTTTTCTGGGTTTTTCCCTCTATTATTTATATTTGTTTTGTGAGACAGGGTTTCTCTGTGAGGTTGTCCTCGAACTTCTGGCCCTCCTGCTTCTGCCTCCTAAGTGCTAGGGTTACAAGTGGGTGCCACAAAGCCCAACTTTTTTCTTTTATTTCGCTTCACCGTGTTTGAGAGTCTCATCACCACCACCATTCACATTTTCTATTGCCTTGTTTTTGTACATTGGTGTTTTGCCTGCATGTATCTCTGTGTGAGGGTGTCAGAACTTGGAATTACAGTTCCAAATAATATTCCTACCAAGAAAAAGTGGTAGTGTGTCCTAGTTATCATCAACTTTCACCTGGACAGCTTGGAGTCACCTGAGAAGAAAGACTTGATTTAGGAGCTACCATGTGGGTGAACCCAGGACCTCTGGAAGAGCAGTCTGTACCATCTCTCCAGCTCCCTTCTTTTGACTTTTGCAGGCTTCTTTCATGTTCTTTTGAGATTTCATGGTCTCCGAACATTCTCCACAGATGCTTGCCTCATGCTTATGATGTCTCTTACTCCTTCCAGGGTACTGAGTTTTTGAAGCTTTACTTCTCCTATCTGTCTTTTACCTCCACCTTGTTGTTCTCTGTTTGCCCTGGCCTCTGTCTTTCATGCAGGAAGACTTCATTTGCTTTCAGGTTTTTATTCTAACTCTTGGCTCATGACTAAAGGGCTGGATGAAAAGACTGGAGCCTATGGGTGACACTTGTCAACTGGGGGGGGGGTCTCACCGTGGGATGCTCCAGCGGGCATGTGAGATCCTGTGGTATTTGCTCAGGCAAGTCCAGCTGTTGAATGCAGACCTGAGCAGCTTCCTCCCGAGGGGTCAGGCGTTGCTAACTGTCTTTCTGCCACTGGTCAGGAGGGTGGGATAGACTTCAGCTCTTTTCAGCAGTGGTGATTAAACTTGTCTTCAGTCCAAAGACCGTGTGCCTTACCATTTTCAGAGACCAGACCTCTGGATGGCACTGGCTATCACTGGTGCTCTGGAGGAGTTGGAGGAAGTGCCCATTGTCCACATTTCCCAAGTTTTCACATGCCAGCATCACTCGGGGATCTGGATGAAGGTGGGACTGACATACTGGCAGGGGTTGGAGTTTCAGACTCAGAGGATGCGCTAGGAATGCTACTGTCCGGGGGAGGACCCATCTGAGCAGTGAAGGCTGACTGTTCCCTGACATCTTTTGACCTGCCCCTCCTTGTTGGGGAACCCCAATTCTAAAGCTCCCCGCTTTAAAGATGCTGTGTTGGGCTAAGGTCTCAGCCTCCTCAGGCTGGGTCCTCTGTGCATGGGCTTCCACGGTGCTGTTGCTTTCCCTCTGGCTTTGTGAGTGCTTGTCCTTTGAAAAACTAGTTAGTTTGGGGAGGTTTCTGGAGGGCACCCAATGAGTTGTGTGCATATTGCCATGTAAGCCCTAACCTGAGCCATCAGCTGTGGTATTTCCTGAGTTTGGTTCCGTCCCTGTATGCAGGGTCTGTCATCGCAGATAATTGCAGTTTAGGCTTGAGCATCTGTCTCCCTTCCTCCTTTGTCTGCCTGCAAAAGTCTCTTTATGAAAAAGTTAGTGTTAATTTAAAAAGTATTTATTATTGTTGTTATGTGATACATGAGTAGATGCATGCCGTGATGCATATTGCTGCTCGGAGGACAACTTTCTGGAATTGGTTCTCTCTTTCTCCCTTCTTGCAGGTTCTGGGGATCGAACCCAGGTCAGTCTTGGGCAGCAAGCACCTTTATCTACTAAGCCCTCTCATCGGCCCCTTATTTTATTGATTGATTGGTTGGTTGGTTGATTGATGCTAGGGACAGAGCTGAGGGCCTTTCATATGCTAAGCAAATGCTCTATCTACCACTGAACTGCACTCCTACCCCAACCTGCTAAATTCTTACAGTCTTCAAAAAGAAGCTGCGGTGTCTGTCTTCTGCAAAGCCCATTTTTATCCCTAAATTCCCAAAGCTCTTTAAATCTTGTGAGTCTTACCGTGACCAGCTCTGTGCAGCCTCTTCCACAGTCGTCATGAGCTCCTCAGGATGGGCTGGTACCTCTGTAACTCTAACCTGTGCCTACCAGGAACTTACAGATGTCACCTATGAACTCGTTTCTGTGCATGCTCACTTCATCGTGTCCCCCTCCACTTACTGCTCTCACTCCTCTGGTAAGAGATGAGTGTGTTAACTACCTGTGCTATCATCAGACAGAAACTCATATCCTATAACCTTAGTCCTTATTTCTTTATTTTTGAGACAGAGTCTCACTCTGTAGCTCCCACACTGGCCTTAAACATATTATGTAGACCAGGCTAACCTGAAACTTATTCTCCTGCCTAAATTTCTCAAATACCAGGATTACAAGAGTGACCTACCGTGCTGGGAGTCATAATCTTAAATTTAAAAATGAGGGACTGGCCAGTTTACTGTGCTAGGTTTACGTGGTATAGAAATGAACAGCCACATTGGTCTAGAAATCTTCCTAGTTTTCATTTGTACAGGGATAATACACTGTGTGAAATAGGGAGAGTCTTGTCTATGCGGGTTTGATACAGCAATTAATAAAATATGCTCTAAATAATCGAAAAAGCCAGCGACTAGTAGTGTAACATGAAAAATAAATGACCCAGAGACTCACTTTGGGGTTCAAGCTTCAAGTTGAATACCAGAAAAGCAAAGCAGCTGGCCACTAGCTTCTTCTACCTTAGGCTGAATGGGCTGCTCCTGTCTCCACAAGCTCTCACCAAGCCTCAGACTGCAACTTCTCCTCAGTGTGGCTGAAGAATGAATGCCTGACACCGAATACTTGCTCCTGTCTTTTATAACCCTCCAGTGCTGGGATTAAAGGTGTTAGCTATAATTCTCTTTTAGATTGATTCTCTCTTGTGTAGATCTGGGTGGCCTTGAACCCACAGAGATGTCTATCTCTTAATCCTGAGTCCAAGGATTAAAGGTGTGTACCACCACCTCCTAGCTTCTGGCTGCTGGGATTAAAGGTGTGCATCATCACTGCCTGATTTCTATAGATTGAGGCTGACTTTGTTTTTCTGAATCCTCAGTCAAACTTTAATAAATCATAAATAATATATCACTATACTAGTAGAAACAATATTTTTCAAGAAATTTATAGTACAATCTGATCTTTGTCACCTACTGTAAGCACAATTGAAAGACAAATTTTCTCATAGCTCAATATTAAGTCATAATTATTATCCCCATAATGAAACTATCTATTGAGGAAGTCTGAATCTGAGGTAGTTAAGTAAATTAAACATGTATTTGTAGTGTCAATGATAAAAACTAAATGTATTTTTAAAATCTTATTATTTTTTTGTGTGTATGTATACATGTATGCATGTTTTGCCTTTGTGTACATCTGAGTACTACTTGTATGCTTGATGCCTGAGGAGGCAGGATGAAGGTATCAGGTCCCCTGAAACTGGTATTACAGTTTTGAGCTGCATCATGTGGCTGTTGAGAATTAGTTGAACCTGGCTGCCCTGAAAAGGGAGCCAGTGCTCTTAATGCCTGAGCCATCTCTCCAGTTTCTTAAAAAAGAAAATAATTAAAAACATTTTCTCTGAGACTTACTTTTATTTGGGCGTGTGTGGTTTATGCACTGGGGTGGGGGGTGCAGACCCACGAGCGTGCTTGGACTGGTGCAGGAGGGTCTCTGCTATTGCTCTCTGTCTACTACCCTTGAGACAGGGTCTCTCACTGAGCCTGAAGCTCACCTGTGCATCTGGGCTAGCTGGCCAGGGAGACCTTGGAATCTGTCTTTCTCCCTGACCCTAATGCTTGAGTTACAGGCCCATGTGGCCATGCCTGGATTTTTACTGGGCTTCCAGAGAGTCAAACTCAAGTCCCCGTGCTTGCATAGCCAGTGATTTTACCCGCTGAACCATTTCTCTGGCCCCGATTCATAATTCTGCTCTGCCTCCGTTAATAACATAATCTCATCTATGTCCCCTCCATACATATTTCAGAAATAGACAAAAGGAATACAAGTTGGACACCAAGTCTGATTAATCTTCTACTTCTTTGATAACCAGGTATTGATTTCTGACTTTTGAAGATGGATGAAGGCACAGAAGTCTCCACTGATGGAAATTCCCTGATCAAAGCTGTCCATCAGAGCCGGCTTCGCCTCACAAGACTTTTGCTAGAAGGTGGTGCCTACATCAACGAGAGCAATGACCGCGGGGAAACACCTTTAATGATTGCTTGTAAGACCAAACACATCGACCAGCAGAGTGTCGGTAGAGCCAAGATGGTTAAATACCTCCTAGAGAACAGTGCAGACCCCAACATCCAGGACAAATCCGGGAAGAGCGCTCTGATGCACGCATGCTTAGAAAGAGCGGGTCCAGAAGTAGTTTCCTTGCTCCTCAAGAGTGGGGCCGACCTCAGTTTGCAGGACCATTCTGGCTACTCAGCTCTGGTTTATGCTATAAATGCAGAAGACAGAGATACCCTCAAAGTCCTCCTTAGCGCTTGCCAGGCGAAAGGGAAAGAGGTCATTATCATAACCACAGCAAAGTCACCCTCTGGGAGGCACACCACCCAGCAGTACCTCAACATGCCTCCCGCAGACTTGGATGAGAGCCATCCGCCGGCCACGCCTTCAGAAATTGACATCAAGACAGCCTCGTTGCCACTCTCATGTTCTTCGGAGTCAGACCTGACACTTTTTGGCTTTAAAGATAAGGCATTTTCTGGAAGCAGTGATAATACTTGGGACCCAGACTCTCCTCGGCAGAAGCCTGTGATGACCACCAATGGGCCCAAGCTATCCCAGGCTGGTGCCGCCTGGATCAAAAATCCCCCATCGTTAAAGCACCAGGCCAGAGTGGCCTCCTTGCAAGAGGAGCTCCAAGATATCACTCCAGAGGAAGAAGTAGCGTACAAAACCACCGCGCTGGTACTGTCTAAGCGCTTCATCACCAGACACCAGAGCATTGATGTAAAAGATACCGCACACTTGCTCAGGGCCTTCGACCAGGTCAACTCCAGGAAGATGTCGTATGATGAGATAAATTACCATTCTTTGTTTCCAGAAGGAAACCAGTCATGCATGGAAACTCCCAATGACCAGGACCCAGATTCTAACCAGACCCTATTTGCCTCCACTTTAAAAAGTATAGTTCAAAAGCGAAACTCAGGGGCCAATCACTACAGCTCTGATTCTCAGCTCTCAGAGGGTATTACCCCTCCAAACTTAGAAGACGGTAAAGCCGGAAAGAAAAAGATCTTCGCACCATCTCCTTCCTTACTAACGGGGTCCAAAGAAGTAATGGAGACGGTCCCCCCGGGCCCCCTGAGCAGGAGGAACCATGCGGTTTTAGAAAGGCGGGGCTCTGGGGCTTTCCCCATTGAACACAGCCTCGTGCAGAGCAGACCCGGGTTTCTGCCACCCTTGAATGTAAATCCTCACCCTCCCATCACAGACGTCGGTGTCAACAACAAGATCTGCAGCCTGCTTTCTTGTGGCCAAAAAGTGCTTATGCCAACGGTTCCTGGTTTCCCGAAGGAATTCAAAAGCAAAAAGATGTTATTGAGGAGGCAGTCATTGCAGACAGAACAAATTAAGCAATTAGTAAATTTTTAAGAGACGCCTAGAAAACACATCATGTTCAGACGTCTGGATCAGAGAAACATAGACTTAAAGAAGAAATCTTAACTGTATCCTTTTAAGTCTTAGCTAGTGCATCAAGGCTAGGCAGATCAAAACATAGAGTATGTTGTACTAGGTACTGCAAGCACACCATAGTATAGAGCTTCTGAGGAAATAATACCAATGTGAAAGCTGTTTTTCTCACAACCTCCAGTATTTATCACTTCCATGTGCTCCAAGATTTCCATCTAAACAAAATCCTCCAAGAGAAAGTTGCCTATGCTAGAAGTGATTTTTAAAGTTTCAGATTGGCTTCATGTCCTACTAAGAAACAATGTTCTCAAGTTAGTAATTTTGTCAACACTTTAGTCAACAAGGTCGTAATTTTTCATGATGCCAAAATCATCAAAGAAAACCCTAACATCAGTAAAGCTAAACTACAAAGGAAGGATAAGCAGAGTGGTTAAAAATGTTGACTCGGGCAGATAAAAGTCTTATTAAAAAATGTAACCGTGAAAAACTAGTCAGAATGAGAAACCACTGATCTTAATGACTGCTAAAATTTCATCAAAATGGCAGGTGACGGGGCTGAGGGGGCGCTTTGGCTGTGCAAGCCAGATGGCCTGCCTGCTTCAGTGTGTATTCCCAGAATCCACATAACAAGTAGACCCAGGAGTGCATTCTGCGGGGAGATGGGGGGGGGGGGGCAGAGCCAAGAGAATCCCCAGAAACTCATGGCTCAGACAGTCTGACAACACTGAGGTGAAGACACCCAGGCTCAAACAAAGAGGCAAGGATGACTGACACCAGAAAGTTATCCTCTGAGAGCCACACAACCCTCCCCCCCAAACTGGCAAGTCAGGGCAGCACACCATATGCCAATCTCTGTTGTTTTTGCACTGTGTATTCCTTTCAGACAAAGTTACCAATCATGTTATCTTACAGAATTATTTCTCATGTTGTTTTTGGGTATCTTATCCATAACATGAGAACTATTTCCCATGTTATTTTTGAGTATCTTATTCCATAGGTTTACAACACCAAGATAATATAAAAATTAAAAAGGTTTCACCTTGACTTACATTAATCTTGTCTTCCAAAAGAAACACCCAAAACAGGGTGGGGGCGAGGTTGCAAAAAGTTTGGGATTGAACATAAATGAAAATTAAATGCTTGCTTCATTAAAAAAAAAAGAAAAATTAATAGATTAGTTTAGCAAAAATTACAAAAGCCAAGTAGAAACTTAATCATAAAATGTATTACTGGGTCATTACTAAGCAGTATCTTTATTTCTGATATGTAGTTATTAGACAGTTCTATAAAGATATACAAAGATAATGTCCTTAGTGTGACATTTGGATCATCTAGTATTTTAGGGTCTACGAATAACTTTTAACAAATACACACTATTATAAGATAGTTAAAAAATGACAGTGTTACCTATATGACTTCAAAGTATGGTGTTCAAAGAACCTTTCACTTGTGGCAGTTCTGAAGCAAAGATTTAACAGAAACTAGAAACCCCACGGCTGTGGGTATAACGACATCATCTACAGCTTTATTTCTTTGCCCAACAGGTGGCATGATGCCTTTCTTGGTAATTTGATATAAGCTATTTGAAATGTACATAGAAATTATGTAATTATCTGTGGCTTTTATTTTAAAAACTAATTTCAGGTTTTTCCATTTAATGTTTTGAAGAAAATATTAATTACATTAGGAAATATTTTTTATTCAGAAACTAAAATTGTACTGATGTTTATAAGTAGCCGAATTCCTTTCATGAGTTTTAATATCACAAAAAGTACTTGACCTCACATTGTAAGGACACAGTTTGGGAGAATATGTATATGTATATAGAGTAATTCATTATCAAGATACTATCAATAAAGATTTAAAATATCATTTTGATGAAGTTTTATTTTTACCTCAAATACTAATAGTAAACATTTCAACATAATTTTAAGAGAAATTGTGCTGCATGTATAATTTAAATAACAAAAAATAAGAATAACTTGTCTTCCCAACATGAAAACATAATTTAACATGATTAAAACGTTGACCATCATCAGAATTTTCAACTTTCTAGCAAGCCTAAAAACATTTTAAATTCTCAGACTGTAAGAGTCTGGCTATAAGTCATTCTATGAGTGTGTGTATGTGTATGCATATGTGTGTATGTGTATGCATATGTGTGTATGTGTCTACACGTGTGTGCATGTGTGTTTATTTTACATTTATGTTTGAATTTCATGTAGAGTTTGATTTAGCTTTAACTTAAAGGTCAAATAACACTTCACATACTGGTTTTACAGGTACCATTCTTAGTTCCTGATGAGCAGAATTTCCTAGTGTATAACTAATATAGACCCAGGGAAACAGGCATTCAAGGGGACAGGGCAGCCCTTGTTACTAACCAAAGAAGGCAGTGACACCTGCATAGTGACTCCTTTGTGGAGGTGAACGGGCCAAGCACCTAGTGACAGAACTCTTATTAATCTCATTCTATTCCCTAATAATTTGATTGCTTAGAAGAGAGACTGTGTTTTTGTGGGTGATGAAAAAGTGTCTAGGAACGCCAGAGATGGCAAATCAGTTCCCTGCAGCAGACTTGCCCACCAGCCTCGCTGTGCACGGGTGAGTCAGTCAGTCCCTAGTGCTGGAGCTAAAGATGTGCACCACCACTGCCTGGCACTGTAGGTGTTTTTGTCACACTGACTCAAAATTAATCAATGCAAGAAGATGGAAAAGGTGATCAAGTGAGGAAAATATTTAAAAGTGAGTGAAAGTAGTGTTTATCTCAGAAAGACTCAACTGAGATTAGATGGCTGTCCTCAATTACTGAAGTGAATGATGAAACATGATGAGAAAATGAAGCTACTGGGGTATTTCCTCTAGGGCTGTCAATCTATGGAGATAGAGGGTACCATTCCTGGGAACACACAAAGATGGCTGTTGATCAGACATTCAACAAGAGTTCTTCTCACTTAATGGCCTTTGAAACTGTTTCAGCCAGAAGGTTCTTTGAAATGTCTTTCCATGGTCAGAGTTCTAGGCTAAGTGGGAAAAGTTGAAATAGATTTGGAATCTCAACCATGCACACAGCATTTTGCGTTGTTTTGTGTTCACCCAGTGTTGGTTATGAAAGCACAGCTTTTGATTGCTGAGCAAAACATTTCAATTCAAACCAATTTTCTCAAATTGAAAAACACTTACTGGTTGACTTCTGTAACTGTGGGTGCTTACTAGTATCCAGAACTCAGAATAAAAGATAGAAATCACTTCCACCGAGAGACACACGGAAGCTGCCCCCAAGCAAAGGCTGTGATGACAACACTCTGACCAAAACAGATGTTTGTCTTCCCTACAGCAAGTAGCCATGACGGAGCAGTTCTCAGAGATGCAAAATCAGCTGAAAGGAAGCGGTGGAACACAAGGACATCACTGGGTAAAGCTCTTAAATCAGCATGGCCAGTTATAAAGTGAGTTATTACTGTCCCATACAGGTGGGGCCAAGGAGGCTGTGTCATGGCAGGGATGGACCCCAGGGCCTTCTACATACCATGGTAGTTTGGATGAGAAATATCCTGCAGTCACAGTATTTGCACACGTTCTTCCTACTTGGTGGTGCTGTTTTGGTTAGATGATGGAGCCTTGCCGGTGAAAGTCTGTCACTGCAGGGAGCTTTCACATAGCCTCGCCCACTTCTCATTTGCTGTGTCGGCTGCATGTTTGCCATTGAAGATGTGAGCTCCCAGCTTCCTGCTCTGGCTGCCTGCTACCCCGCCTCAGCACCACCACTACAGACTCATCCCTCCGGAACAGTAAGCCAAAATAAACTCTTCCTTAAATTGCCTTTGTTCATGGTGCTTTATCACAGCAACAGACGTGTAACGGATAGACATTCGCTAAGTGCTCTGAGTCCCAGGGTTTCTCTTCTTTCGTATTCAGCCCTCGAGCTGACAAAGAAGCAAGACTTTCACCGCCAAGTACCTTAATGAAAAAGTTGGGCTGTGGTTATGTTTTCACTCCAAGAAAAGGAAGGAAGTGAATGCCAGCATTCATGAAAGCAGACGACTCCTGCACCAGGCATCATGGGACTGGGGCTCCAGCGAGCCTAGGCACAGGAAGAAAGCAATGGGGAGGATCCAGGAGACTGGCCAGCCACCACGTCCCCTGCTCTCCCTCCACTCCTCCACTGTAACTGTGGGCTGTGTGGGAAGCTTTATTGTCTACGTTATGAAATAATTGAAATACATAGTAAAGTCAAAAGCACCGTGCAGGTGGAATGAGGTGAAGTCCTTAGAAAACAGGATTACTTAAAGAAAAGAATGTCTTTCTTGGAGTGGAAACTAGGTCCAGAATTAGGTGGGCGGAGGTTATCATTTTCCTTCCAAATGGTGGGAAGCACAATCAATGACCCTCTGAGAAATAAAGCCCCAGCTGGCTTTTTTCCTGTTCCACCCACATCAGCCAGGTTGCCTGTCAGTAACTCTGCTCAGTGGACAAGTCGCAGAACTGCGGCCCACAAATTCCTTCTGTTTCTTGAATCCCTTTTTCCATCACCCCACTTGGGTCTCCATCTTTCTTCTCTTTGAGAATCCCCAGTGTAGTTGGCTCTCCCCTCCCTTCCTAAAACTCCAAACTGACCACGACCTCCTTACAATAGAGTTGTGTTCCTTGGATTCCCACAACCATCCTTGCTTACAGTTGGTTGTGGTCCCTGGATTCCCACAATTCTCTCTTGCTTACAGTGGGGATATGGTCCCTGGAGGAGTCAAGCATCTCAACAATCTTGGCTTCCTCTCTGCCATCCAGGACCCTCAACCCAGAGACACATTTGCAGAGCCTCAGACGCGGAGATCAGATGTCTGTTCTGTTTATTCCCCACTGAGCGCTGGAAAACTTAATGGGCTTCTTCACAAAACCACGTGACAGGTCAAATCGTGGTCCCAGGCTCAAAGCTGATGGGTACAAAGAAGGAAGCAAAGTAATGCTGTGCAAAGTATGTCTCAGACTGGAGTTTGTGGGGCTGCAATCGGAACCAGCCGATCAGCCCCGGGTCTGTTCCTGACTCGGGGGGGGGGGTTGTGGATGAGGGAAAGGCTATTAGCTATGGACAATAAAAGGAAGACAGAGACATAATATGATGTCAGGAAGGCAGATTCAGTCCATACTGAATGGGCAGTGGGCTTGGTCTGTTGTGCCCAAATTCTGAACCCCAAAATTACCAAGAGACTCATTCCGGAGCAGAGTCTTATTGTTTAACGATCTAACCCCAATAACTTGGGCCCTTTCTCCATTTATGACAGCAGATGACAGGAAAAGGACCCGGAGAAACCATGAGGTGGGAAATACATTGGGTAGAGCAAAGAGAGTGGCTAGGGGTACACAACAGTCTCGGGACTGGTGAGCCTCCGGGCTTGGATGACCTGTCCTGTGTTGATTGGTCAACTGGTTGTTATAGCCTATGGGCCCTCCCAGGGTGGTTGCTATGTTCTGCATGTCACTATTGTGCACTTGTACACCCTGAGCCGTAAAGCATGGCCTCATCAGCTAACTTCTGATTGGTTCCTTACCATGAGGGTATCTGACTTCCTAGTGGCCAAGGCAGGAGGGTCAAGGTCAGACACGTGCTGAGTCAGAGACCTATATGTCTTTTCTGTAGCCCGTCATGGCTGCTAAAGCAGGGGGCTGGTCCTCCCAGGTTGATCTCGTTTCTACAGAAAGAGCTTTGGCACTTCTGCATCTTTCAACTAATCTTGCCTTTGCCCATGAAATATGACTGTCAGTACTCCTGGCTGGCAGGCTCACATCTAAAGTAATAGGGGTGAGCTACTGCACCTTCCTATGAATGCACTAGATGCTAACTGATTACAGAGGGTAAAAGGCCCAGAGAACTAAGATCCAAGCAAATAAATCATCAAACTGTTCCAAATTATTTTTAATAATTTCCCACTGGAGAAGTCAACACATAATGGCTAATGAGCAGTTACACCACTCTCACAGGACCCGAAGTAATTGTACATTTGAAAGGCTCTGGGTTTCGGAACAATCAAATCACTTACCAATGTCTCTTCTAAGGTGGGATGGTCTTGTGAGTCACAGAGAGCAGAACTCAAATGCTATGGGACGATGACAGCAGCACTGCCTTAGGCTTGGGAACTTGGAAGAGTCAAGTATTTGATGTTTGAACTTCTTTTCAAAATTCTCTGTGCATGTGAATACATAACTTTTGCATATAAAATCACCCCATAGGGAGGGCCTGGGCCCTGCTCCAAATGATATGACAGACTTTGAAGACTCCCCATGGAAGGCCTCACCCTCCCTGGGGAGAAGAAAGGGAATGGGATCGGGGTTGGTGGGGGAAAACAGGAGAGGATGGGAGGGTGAGGGAACTGGGATTGACATGTAAAACAAGCTTGTTTCTAATTTAAATGAAAACTATAAGTAAACAAACACATAAATGAAACCACTTCGTAATGCAGTTTTGCAACCACAACATCTTTCCACATTAATGGAGGCTGGCTTTTCAGCGTCTGTTAGCATCCTATGGATTTCTGTACATCAAGGTGTGTGAATATACTATCAAAGACTGATATGTATAACTTAAAACACAGTAAAATGTACATCCCTGTAATTCCTTGCCATAGATTCCTTCCAACTATGCACGTTGGCACAGTTATAGACGGTTCCATCACTGCCCCACTTCCTAACTCCATGAGTAACCATTATTATGACCTCTGTTGCCATATATTAATTCTGAATGTCCGTGTGGTTTGAAGGAATAATGGCCTCCATAGGGAGTGGCACTATTAGGTGTGGCTTTGTTGATGGAAGTGTGTCACTGTGGGGGGCGGGCTTTGAGGTCTCCTATGCTCAAGCTAGGCTCCGTGTGGCACACAGTTCACATCCTGTTGCCTGAAGATCACGATGTAGAACTTTGGGCTACCTCTCCAGCACCACATCTGCCTCCATGCCACTATGCTTCCAGCAGTGATGATAATAGATTGAGCCTCTAAACTGTAAGCCAGCCCTAATTAAATTTCTTCCTTTATAAGAGTTACTGTGGTCATGGTGTCTCATCACAGCAATAAAACACTGACTTGGTACAAATGGACCCATGTGCTCAGTGGTCTCCATTCCTTCTCACTGTTTAATAAAATCCTTAAAGCATGAATTAAGTAGCCCAAATGTTTTTTAGTGCTATGTAGTAAGTTCATTATGTATGTAGCAGTTTTCTTACTTGTGGAAATGTGCTGTTTTAAATTAGGAGTTCAGAATATAACTGCTACCAACATTCTTATCACAAGTCTGTTCTGTGAACATGGGAACTCCCCTGATGTCATGCTTACGGATATAATGCCTGGATCCTAGGGCAGAGATGCTGTCTTTATTGGAAACAGTAGGAATGTTTCATTTCCCCCTCCACACATTGTCAGTCCTAGTACTAGCTGTTCTGGGATGTATGCACTATCTCACTGCAGCTTAAATTGCCTTTCCTGAACCTTTTCTGGAAAACTTGCTTTGGGTGTATGGATGTTTTATTTTGTGGAGTATCTGTTAAGTTTTTTTTCTCATTTTTAATTCAAACTTTTGGATTTTTACCAGTTTACAGGCACACTTCACATAAAATGGCAGTGTCCTTTGTCAGATTATACCCAGTGATATCTTTTTTTTTATTTAAGGATATATTTTTACTTACCGTGTATGGATGTTTTGCCTGCATGTGTCTGTGCACCACATGAGTGCAGTACTCAAGGAGACCAGAAGAGGGCATTGCATCATGTAGATCTGTAGTTTCAAATGGTTGTGAGCCACCACGAACTTCGAGTCTAGTAGAAAAGCTGCCAGTGCCCTTCACTACTGAGCCACCTCAATGGCATCTTTTGATGAGAAGCTTGTTTGAGTCTATTTGTCTGTATTTTCCTTCAGAGCTCGCACTTCCTACCGCCTCAGAAGTCATGAGGTCTGTATACACACGGCTAAATGTCTCCCAAGCTCAGCCTTTGTGCTTAGGCCAAAGGAGCCCTCAGTCCTGAGTGTGGTGTGAAGAAGCAAGTGCAGTTACTTGCCTGCAAAAGTAACCATTCAGAATACACTTTGCAGCAGAATAAATCTCACAATTCCCTTTAAATACTTTGGTTTCTCACAACAGTTTAATTCATTTATATTTTAATGTAAGTGGCAGCCTCTTGAATGTCACTTAATCATCACATACTATTGTTGTAAGACCATAAGACCAGAAAGACGGCTCAGCAGTGTAGGTGCTTGCCGCCAAGCCTAACGACCTGAGTGTGATCTCCAGGACACACATGCTGGAAGAAGAGAATCTATTCCTCCAAATTTCCCTCTGGTCTCTAGACATGCCTCATAGCACACTTACATGCATCATGACACACTCCACGCACATGTATCACAGCACACTCACATACACATGCATCGTGACACACTCATACACACATCGTGGCACACTTACAGACACACACACCGTGACACACTCATATACACACATCATGGCACACTCACATGCATATGCATACAATAAGTAATAAATATAGAAAAACTTTTCAAGAAAATTGTTAAGGGTTAGATAGGAAGTACTTCATTGTGGACAAATATTGTGCTTCTAGTTTCATCAAAAAGTAGTTAATTTATTAATTCATTTTTTTTTTTTACAAAATTAATGTCTGGTTATTATAGAGATGTTACAAGCATTGTATTGAGATAGGGTATCACAATGTAGTCCAGGCTGGCCTTGAACTCCTGATCTTCCTGCCTCAGTCCCCCAAGTCCTAGGGGTATGATACGAGCATGTGTTGCCACACCCAGCTTGAACATTTTTACTGTAATTTTCCCAACTTTGTTGCAGGTGGCAAATTCTTCCAGATGTGTGCAGCCATGAAGACATCATAAAGGAAGAGCGAGGAAGTATACAACAAGCATTTTTGATTGGATAACAGTACAAACCAAAAATCACAATTAATACAGCAATGAATTCAGACAAAGCAGAGAAGGGTGTGGAAGCCGAAAGAGGAAATGATTAGAAAGTGTCTTCTTGTAGTGTGCCTTCTTAGAGGGACTCACATCCCAATGGCTTGTTTAAATTCATGGCTTTGTGGTTCCAAAATATCATAGAAAACTTGGGTTTTATTAAAGTAGTCTCGAATGTAAAGTAAATCTTCAGTGGGATAACTGTCATCCTTTCCAGTCCAAACTGTCAGGCTGTACCTGTATTAAAACAGATGTGTACAGGAAAGGTGGAAGATAAGAAACCAGAAAAAAATTCTCCGCAGCCTACCACAGTCCAACCACCCGCCCGGCTTCATTCCTTCATCAACACGAAACAGCTCCCCACCTCTGCCGCAAGCAAAGTCCCTTCTCCGTTTCACTTACAAGTTTGTTCTGGGGCCTAGAAACCTCTGCAGCACGGGAAACCAGGCACGATTTGTAAAGGGAGCTGACCAAAGATTTTGCTGCCGATCAAAGACTCTGACCCTCAAACAAAATTACAACTGTATCCCTGGCTTTGCTCAGGAGTCTGGTCAGAGTGAAACAGAAAGCATGACGGAAGAGATTGAAGTGACCAAGTGGCATTGTCGTTCCCAACACTCAGTCACTAATGATGAGCCTTGGAGGTTTTCCCACGACATGACAGAATTAACAAGAGCAAACGGTAGTTGGTGAGAGGGCTCATGGGGAAAAATACCTATTGCCAAGCCAGATGACCTGAGATCAATCCTGGAGACCCACCTGGTGGAAGGAGAACCAGCTCCTGTAAATTGTCCCCTGACCTTTGCATGCACACGTGTCCCCCACCACACACAAAATACATGAATACACGAAAAGGGGAATAACAAAATTTAAAAATAAGAACATATGTAAAATTTCACATATGCATGAACATGCCGGCGTCTGGCTATTATATGCTCTGTTTCCTTTTTTATTGATATGGCTGCTACACCATGCCTGGGGACACCACACTTCGGTAGTCACATTCCCTTTACCCTCTTAAACTTGTCGGAATACAGGAGAGACCTCTAAAGCGTTTCTGCTACCAACGAAGACACAGGCTATTGAGGAGCATGTTTGCTAAGCTTCTGTCCTGATGAGAACTGAAAGTAAAGAAACACAACAGAGGGAGTACTTCAGATTCAGTTCCCACAAGAGATAGTGACACACTAAGAAGAGTTTTAACTACTATATAGGTCACAAAAAAAAAAAATAAATAAAAAGAAAAGAAAAAGGTGAACATTATCTTTTAACTCTATCCCCCCCCCAGGTAGAATCTATTAATTTATCTGACTACCATGGGAATGAACCCTATAACAAGACACAGATATGATCATTTGGGTTAAGAAAAGAACTTTGGGTCACTTCTGCCTCATTAAATAGCTCTCCGTTTTATTAAAACTGAAAAGGGTTAAATAAGATTGTTAAATGGGTACCAAATTGGATTAATTTAAGTCAGTTCTCAGATGATACATATTTTAAAAATTCTTCTTGTGAAAAATCACAAGATGGTATATAAATCACAGATGTAGTTTTTAACCAATTGTTATAAAGTGAATGTCAGTGCAAACCAAAACATGCAAGAAACTGTGGATGGGCAACACCTCAGGGGCAACTGTGTCCCTGCTTCATCACGGCTGTCCTTGGGCCCCTGCTCTCATCTGTTCTCTTCTTACTTCAGGAAATAAGGTGCATAAGGCAATGCTTTGATTTAAGAGGAGGAGGAGGAGTAACACATATTTATCTTTACTCAGATTTACACGCAGAAGCTGATAGCTGGTTACTGAGACACTAGTGACTGGTTATGAGGACTGTGTAGACGGGGTGAGATGCTAATGACTGTGTTTAGGGAGGACTGTGTAGACGGGGTGAGATGTTAGTGACTGTGTTTAGGGAGGACTGTGTAGACGGGGTGAGATGTTAGTGACTGTGGCTAGGGAGGACTGTGTAGATGGGGTGAGATGTTAGTGACTGGTTATGAGGACTGTGTAGACGGGGTGAGATGTTAGTGACTGTGGCTAGGGAGGACTGTGTAGACGGGGTGAGATGTTAGTGACTGTGTTTAGGGAGGACTGTGTAGACGGGGTGAGATGTTAGTGACTGTGTTTAGGGAGGACTGTGTAGACGGGGTGAGATGTTAGTGACTGTGGCTAGGGAGGACTGTGTAGACGGGGTGAGATGTTAATGACTGTGGCTAGGGAGGACTGTGTAGACGGGGTGAGATGTTAGTGACTGTGTTTAGGGAGGACTGTGTAGATGGGGTGAGATGTTAGTGACTGTGGCTAGGGAGGACTGTGTAGACGGGTGAGATGTTAATGACTGTGGCTAGGGAGGACTACATGAACAGGGAGAGGCTTTTCATAGCAACCCTGTGGTTGTGGTTTTTGAACTCATGAATTAATGATTGAGAAATTAAATTCAAAGTCACTCAAGAAGAAATAAAAAGGCAGGAGTTAAACACTACATGAGATCGCGTGACAGACGCAGGTGGCTTTATTTAATCTCCCATTTATCTTATATAACAAACTACTTCATTCTGCTTACACCTTATACAAAGAAGAGCCACATTTTCTGGACTAGCCTGCTGCTGGGAGTAGGCACAGACTGTGACAGTGGGTGACTACAAGGGGAAGATGTGATGGCAATACTGCAGAATAGTCCCCAACCTTATCTGCCCATAGAAACCAACTCTCATCAGAGGATAGGGAGACGCCTTCTACATGTTCACAGAGGAACAGCTCGTGAGAAGGTAGAAAATGATTAGAAGTATCTATGCACTGAATTTTAGGACTTTCAGTTTTATACAGCAAACACTAAGGGCATGAAAGGTCAGATATGTCAGACAGTGGGGGACTTCAGTACCCAACTCTCATCCTTAGCTGGGTTCTTCAAACCCCCAGAATCATCAAAGACATGCCAGCACTAAATTATGCTGCACAACATCTCAGCCAAGTGACAGGAAACAAACACTTCACAGTGGCAGATGACATCTCTAAAATCAATTAAAGTACAGGTCACAAAGCAAGACTTAGTAAAACTTAAATACTTCATATAGCGAATGCATCATGCTATACTGAACTAAAAGTGTAAGTCAACAGCAGGAGAAGCCACACAAACCAAGCCAACATTCAGAGACTGAGTGATGCACTCTTGTTATTTGATTGATTTACTTACTTCGGAGGACCAAACCCAGGGCTATGTGTGTGACAGGCAAGCACTCTACCAACATCCACAGTCCCTGAAAACCACACTTTTGAATGAACAGTGGGCCACTGAGTAAAGCAGAGAGAATTTTTTAAATTCCCAGAATCAAATGACAGCACAACTCACCTGAACCCTAGGGTATAGCTAAGGACTTGTAACAGGAAAGCTGCCAGGGCAAAACAGAGGGGACGCAGATACAGGCAAGGACCTTTTAAAAAGAACTCTAACAGCATAGGGAATAACTCCAAGAACTGACAATGCAATTTCATGAAATTAGGAAGTTCCCGCACAGCAAAAGAAACCGCCAACCGTGAGCACACAGCCCGCAGGATGGTAGGAAGTCTGTGCCAGTTTCACTTCAAGGCTAAGACTTAGAATACAGGAAAAGAACTGCAAAAATTAAATACCCAAGCCCTAAATCTTTCAATCAATAAATGGACTAATGAACTGAATAGAGATTTTTCAAAAAGAACAAACAGCAAATAAGATTTTTAAAACTCTTCACCATTTTTAGCCACCAAACAAAAAAAAAAATGCAAATATAAAACCTGAGATTCCATATTACCACAAGAAAACAAATGAATTCTGAAGAAGATGTAGGAAGATAAACCACTGGTGGGAATGTAAAACTGCACAGGTACTGAGGAAACTGGTGTAGAAGTTGCTCAAAGAACTGAGATAAAATCACCGTAAGACCTAGCTATGACTCCTGCACTTACACGCAAAGGATTCCACATCCTATGACACAGATACCTGCACATGCATGTCTAGTGCCACACTGTTCACAGTAGGAATGGAACCATCCTAAAAATCCATTAACAGACTGCTAAAGAAAATAGGGTGGGATTTTATTCAGCTATAAATAAAATAAAAATGAAATCACAACATTTGTAGAGAAATGGAGCTGAAAAAAAAATCTTTATAATAAAGTATCTTAAGCTCAGAAAGATAATTTTCTCTGAGAACAGGTCTCCCACAGAGATCCACATATATGAATGTCTGGTTTATAGTTGGTTTAGGATTAGGTGTGGCCTTACTAGAGGAGGTGTGTCATGGGGGACAGATGGGCTTAGAGGTTTCAAAACCCCATGCCAGGTCCAGTTTCTATCTCTGCCTCCTGCTTGTGGATCAGGTGTAAGACCTTAACTACTGCTCCTGGGCTGTGCCTGCTTGCCTGTTCCCTGCCATCATGGTCATGACTCACCCCCTGAAACTTTAAGCAAGCCCCCAGTTAAATGTTTTATTTTATACATTGCCTTGGTCATGGTGTCTCTTCAGGAAATAGAGAAGTAATTAAGACAGTGAAGTTACATAATAAAACCTAACATAAACATCAGCACATTTCTATATACTAACAACAAATGAGAAAATAGAAATATGAAAAGAATTCCAATTCAAGAACATCAATAATTAAATAGGATACCTGTAGATTAAAGACTATAAAAGTTAACAAAAAATATTAGAGATGATGTGTGTAAACCTGTGTTTAGGGGTTGGAAGAATTAGCATTGTTAAACCATCCATCCTATCTAAAGCAATCAATGAAATCCCATACATTACCTGTATTAGTTACTGTTCTGTTGCTGGGATGAAACACCATGATCAAAAGTGGCTTGAGCATATTTTGGCTTATGTTTCCAGAGGGATAAGAGTCTATCATGGCAGCGAGGCATGGCAGCGAGTGGTAGCAGCAGGAGCAGCAAGTTAAGAGCTACATTTCAACTACAAGCACAAAGCAGAGAGAATAAACTGAAAGCAGGGTGAGGCTGCGTAATCTCAAAGGCCACCTCAAGTGATGTGCTTCCTCCAGAATCTCTGCCCCACTTAACCCTCCCTGAACGGAACCGCTGACTGGGAACCACGACATTCAACCCTCTGGCCTCCACAGGCACATGGGCCACATCATACTGCAAAATGCACTTAGTGCAACTTCAAAAGCCCCCATACATTTTTAACACTATTTAAAAGTTCAAAGTCTCTTCTGAGACTCAAGGCAATCAGTTAATGGTAACCCT